CTGAAATAAAAAAAAAAAACTTGGCAAAAAAAAATAATAATAACCCTTCACAAACTCTTTCAAAAAGCAGAGGAAAGTGCACTTCCCAAATCATTTTTTGATACTGGTATTACTATATCCAAGCCAAATAAAGACATCACAAAAGAAGTAAAGACTAATATCCTTCATGAATATAGATGCAAAAATCCTAAACAATATATTAGCAAACCAAATCCAGCAACATAAATAAAAGAATTACACACAATTAACAAATGGGATTTATCCCCAAGAAAGCAAAGTTGTTTTAACATTCAAAAATCATTCAATATAGTATACTATATTAATAGAATGAAGGACAAAAACCATAAGAGCATGGCAATAGATGTGAAAAAAAAGCAGTTGAAAAAATCCAACACCCATTTATGATAAAACTCTATGCAAAATAGAAATAGAAAAGAACATTCTCAACCTGATAAAGGACATCTATAAAGAACCAACTGCTAACATCATACTTAACAGTAAAAGAATGAATACTTTCTCACTAAGATCTGGAGCAAGGCAAAGATGACATTTTCACCACTACTAGTCAACCTGGAGGGTCTAGCCAATACAATAAAGCAAGAAAAAGAAATTATAGTTGTCAAGATTGGAAAGGAAGAGTAAAACTGCCTTTATTCACGGATGACATAATCCTGAAGATAGAAAATGCTAAAGAATACACACATTCTCCATCAATTAATAAATGAGTTTAAAAATGTCACTAGACATAAAATCGATATACAAAAATCTATTGTATTTCTACAAGTTCTCAGCAATCCAAAAATAACATTAAGAAAACAATTCTATTCACAATAGCATCACAAAGAAAAAATACTTAGAAATAAATTTTAGAAGTATAAGTCTTGTATGCTGAAAACTATAAAACATTGCTGATATAAATTAAAGAAGATCTAAATAAATGGTGAGATATTCCATGCTCATAGACTTGAAGACCCAATATTGTCAAGATTGCCATTCTCTTCAAATTGATCTATACAGTCAACACTATGCCTATCAAAACCCTTGTAGACTTTTTTTTGGTAGACCTCAACAGGTTTATCCTCAAATTTATATGGAAATGTAAAGGATTTTGAATAGCCAAAAAAAATTTTAAAAGAACACAGTACACTATTCAATTTCAAATACTTACTGTAAAGATACAATGATCAAGACTGTTTTGTCTTATAAATAAATGAAGCAGAATTGAGAGTTCACAAATAAGTCCTTACATTTATGATAACTTGATGTTTTCAACAAAGCTACCAATAAATTCAGTGGGGTAAAGGATGGTCTTTTGAACAAATGGTGCTGAGACAATTGAAAATCCTCATGCAAAAAAGAATGAACTTAGACACCTAATACCAAACTCAAAATAGATCAGAGACTTAAATGTAAATGCTACATCTATAAAAATTTCTAGAATAAAACGCAGCAGAAAATTGTTGTGATTGAGAGTTCTGAGATTCAATTTTAAAAGCATGACTCATAAAGAAAAAAATTATAAACCATACTTCATCAAAATTTGAACTTTTTGCACTATGAAACACACCATTACAGGGGGAAAAAGACAAGCAGCAGACTGGGAGAAAATATTTGCAAATAATGTACCTGACAAAGACATTGGATCCAGAATATAGAAAGAACTCTTACAACTTAAGAAGATGACAACCCAATTTTAGAAATGGGCAAAATATTTAAAGCAACATTTTACTCAAGACATGTGAATGACTAACAAGCACATGAAAAGATGCTTCACATTATCAGTCATATGAAAATTGAAAACACAATGGGATCCCACTTCAAACTCACCAGAATGGCAATAATAAAAAAGATAAGGGTTGGTGAGGAGATGGAGAAATGTGAACCTCTTTCACTAGCAGAACGTTGTCTCCTAAGCACTATGAGATTAAAGGAGATTTCTGATAGCCTTGTAAGTCTTCATTCTAACTCCCCAACCTCCCAAACATAGCCCCAAAATTCAGCAAGTGGAGTTTAATAGAGTGGATGCTACAGTAGCACCACCCAGGTCCCTCCTCAGGTCTGAAACACTCAGTCCCCCAGCTGTCATGATCAGCTGAGGGCTCACAGCTGCATCCCTCTCTAGGAATTGCCCTTCACTGAAGGAGGATGCTCCACCCAAGGTGATGCTATCTTCCCCTGGGGCAGCCTGTATCCAATGACTGGTTAATTCAATAGTCCAAAGGCCCTGCTCCTTTGCTTCAGCTGGAGACATCTTTAAGTCATCTTATCTTCAGAGCTCCCCATGAGATAGACTGAGTCTACTGTTGCAACTGTATGTGTCACCATTCAATTTCTCATGCCCTATCCTGCTTCTCTAACTCCCTCACAGGTGTTGTTCCCTGAGAAGACTCCCAGTAACTCTCTGAAAGAAAATCTCAGGTTCAGTGTCTGTTTTCTGGGGAACCCAACTTGCAACAGGTTGAGGAAACTGGCCAAGCTTCTTAATTTTCCAATCTGTTGCACCAGCCTCACATGACAACCAAAAGCTTTGCTGGGTTTTTCTTTCCTTTAGGAAAGATCCTCTACATGGACCAAGCTTAATCTTTTTTAGTCCATGTCCAAAATCAGTAAATGCCTCCAGAAAAGAAAATGGCCACTCACCTCAGGAGGGCTGTCCCTCTCTGGAATTCCTATTCACCTAGACCTTATTGCTTTCACAGCTCTCACATATTTTAAACAACACCTTTGTAATTTTTCCATATTTTTCTGGTTGTTGCAGGAAGAGTGTTAGGCTGCCATGACATACTATATCCTATCTAGAAGCAGAAGTCTCTAGACAGATTTTCAAAATTACAAATATGGGGATATTAACTTTGTTCCTAACTTAATTGAATTGTGGTCAGAGAAATTGTTTTGTATTATGAAAATAGTTTAAAATTTGCTAAAAGTTGTTTAAGGTCAAATTTAATATTTCATGTACTCTTAAAAAGAATATGTAGTCTCACACTGTTGGATGGATGAAATGCCCCTTACGTGTTCATGGGATCAAGTTTGTTGATTGTTTTGTTGAAATCTATATCCAAAATCTTGTTTTGTCTACTTGATCTGTTTCTGAAGAGGGGCAGTAAAATTTCCCACTGCTGTGGTAAACTTGTCAATTTTCCTTGTACTTCTGTCCATATTTGCTACATATACCATGGACGAATATTATCAGATGCATAAATTAGAATTGGTTTAACTTTCTGGTTATTTCAAACTTCTCAAAAGTAGTTATTTTATCTCTACTAATGCATTTTCTTCTACTTTTACTAATATTAAGACAGCTATACCATCTTAAAAATCTCTCTCAATTTATTACTTATTCAGATGCTTAAGCTCATGTAGTAACTGGTGAATGATGAACACTGACAAATCATTTCTCCCACAGAACCATAACCACATATTCCCAGACAGTATAAATTTATGGTTGTCCTAACATTAATGTATATCACCATTTTATCAATGACATAATAAAACTAATTACCAGGTATCCAAATATTACACAAAAAAGCACATAAAATATTAAATGTCTGATCAATTCATTAGTAGAAACCCATTCCTTCTTTGGTTGGGAAGGCAAGAAAAAAGTATCACACTTCAAAGAAAACTAACAGTGAATAAGAAACTTCCAATAGGTAGGGGAAAGAATTATGAGATTTTGGAAATTTTATAATTAATAATTGTTTTAGCTACAAAGATAAAGCATCTCAACCTTTTAAAAAAATGTTTACTGAATTAAAGGGCCTATTCTACATGTCTTGCATAAGACAAAAGCAACAATTTACGGGGAATATTTCACAGCCTCCTCCCATTCTGTCTTCAGGCCTCTACCCTTTAAGTTGCATCCTAACTGTAAACATTAACTGTAAGGCTTTTTTGTCTTTAGACATTCAACATGTGCTTCTTCTTTTTTTAATTTATTTTTTTAATTAATTTATTTATTTTTTAAATAGAGATGGGCTCTCACTCTTGCTCAGGCTGGTCTCGAACTCCTGAGCTCAAGCAATCCTCCTGCCTTGGCCTCCCAGAATGCTAGGATTACAGGCCTGAGCCACCACGCCCAGCCTTACATGTGCTTCTGTACAAAGTGGATTTTGCATGAACTTTCAACCAAAGGTTGATTTTTTTAAATGGAGATTTTGTGATTTTTCAAAATGGAAGTTTACTTAACAAATGAGATTTATAGAAAGACATTAAATAATCACCATAAGACTTGGTAGGAATCCAACAAAATCAACTACTGCACAAACCTGATGTGTACTGGTACACATGTGGGTTGGTAAACAAAGAAGCAGGCAAATAATCCTATAGGCCCTACTTGCAATGTCTGAAATGACTTAAGCAATAGACCACATAAGGTCATATTTCCTGGAATTTTAATTCTGTCTGATACTAAAAATATACAAGTATTGTGCTCGGTATCTTGGCACCTAATCTTTCTAAATTTCTTACATATTGTTTCTGGCATTGGAATAATTAAATAATAAGCCAAACATAGAGGATGCAATTCTGTCAAGCATGTGGCTTTTCAATATTCCTGTGGAAGCTTCATTAGACTTACACACTAAACCTATCTGTTGGCTAATATGTATGAGAAATTAAGTCCTGTCTCAAGTTCCACTTCCAAGGCAATAGCATCAGGCAGCCAAGTTTTATTGAATGCAACAGTTGTTTCTGTGACCACTAGAGTCTTTGAAGCACAGCCACAGTTTTGAATGATATTTCTGCAAATACAAAAGTTGCTTGCTGTTAAAAGCCCCATGCCACTTTCGTCTTATAAACTGTACTGCATCTTCATTTTTCATTCCACTTTCAATTAATTCTAGGGCAACAAGCACTGGAGTTCTCCCAAGACCTGCAACACAGTGAACAGCAATACAACAGCCAGGTTCTTCGCGAAACTTGATGTTTACAAGACTTAACCAGTCATCCCCAATCTCATTGGATGGTGATGAACCATCATCAAAGGGCCAATCCAGAACCTGGATGCCTTCTTTCTCCACAAGAGCAGGATCATAAGTTGCTTCACATACTCTCACTACTGTGGTAACTCCGTATTTCTTAAGTTCTTCTATAAATCTGTTTAAGGTCGCACTGGTTGGGTTGTGTGTAATAAGAAATCTCATGTTCCTGTATGTGACTTCCACAGGAGCTGGATGGTTCATTGGAGCCATGTTAATTTATTTAAAAATATATATATATAGTTAAGGAAAAAATTAAAAATTTGTGAATACAGAACTGATGTCAAGAAACTGAAGTCTACTCCAGTATACTCCACTTGAAATTCTCAGAGCTTTGAATATGAAGTTGGGAGTGACAGGAAATGAAATGAACCTCCTAAGCAGCAGCAGTTCTTCAATTGACTATCCTAAGTCAATGGAAAGGAAGTGCATGCAGGTTTATCCCATCCAGGTCAGAACTCCTGTGAAATGCTCTGATGATTTCAATTCAACACTTCTGTGTCCAGGTTACCCGCTCTTATGCGGGCTTCTAAGTGGAGTAGTTATGGCTTTCCACAGTTCTCTTCTCCTCATAAAGGTCGTGCTGTGCCTGGCAGTAATCTGCAGGGCCCTTCAGAAACTCCATAAATGCGTGACCAAGAACACCACAGAAAGGAGTATGTTTACTCATGAAAGACTGTGGCCTAATCAGACGCCAGAGGCGGGGACAGCTGGAGAGCTGGAGCGGCAGTGGTCGTCGCAGGGAGGCGGCGGTGGCGACGGCGAGATACCTACCTCTGTTGAGGACCAGAGGTTCTCCCAAGAGCGCCTCGAGGGAGCCAATACGCGTGCGCCAGGCACCCTTGTGTCACAAGCCCTTTATTTCGCAGCAGGCGCCACGTGCGAACTCCCCACCAATCGTGGCTGGGCACACCAAGAGCCAATGAGCGAGAGCATGAGGCCCGTCGGCCCCGCCTCCCGCCGGCATCGCGATGCCCGCCGCAAACTGCGTGAGCCTTTGCGGCCTGAGCATCTTTGCCTCCACCCAGGAAGGGCGGACGCGGAGGTGGTGCGGCACAGAGACTGAAAGAGGCTGGAGAGAAACATGGAGGTAGATTAGGACTAGTAAGGGAAGGTATCGAAAGAAGATTCCCAACTATTGACTCTGTCTGGTGTATCTTTTAATACCAGCGTGGTGTGTGCTAACTCTGTCTCTTGGGAACAACATATTGTGTGGCTTCCTTCCCATCCCCCGCCCCAAGTCTGTTACCGAATAATGGGCTCGCTTCCCAGTGCGCAGGGAAGCCAATAAGATAGCACGAGGCTTTGAAAAAAGAAAAACCTTATTGCGAGTCAACCAGCACGTAGAGAGGAGGAGGCTAGCTCAAATCTGTCTCCCGGATCTGGGGTTTGAGACAAGTGTTACATGTTAGGGGAGGACAGGTTGGTAGGCGGAAGCCCTGGCAGGGCAAGTTTTGATAGGAAAGACTTTAAATAGGACCATTTATGGTAAGGCATGGGAAGGGGTCTTATTACTGGACATTCCTAGACAACTGGACCTCTGCCTTCTGAAAGTGTCCTGGCACTCAAGTTCTGACCATGTCTTGATCTTTTAGTTTAGGGTAGGGGGAAAGACTTTAGTTCTGGGTGTTATTTGAGGTCTAAGTTTTCTTTTTTGCACATGCTCTGGCTGTATAACTTGCAAATTTTTAGCTCTGTACCTACAAAATAACTGGACATTCTGTTATCAACAGAGTAGAGCCAGAAAAGACTGTTTGGGTGGCTACAAACCCAGCCTGACAAACTTTGTTTTTTACCTGAAAAACTTAAGCATTTTGCCCTCTTATTTTGTGCTGTTTGGCCCATATTTCTGTGGTGAGCTGAGAGCTTTACAATAAGGGGTTAATAAATGAACTAAGCAGAAAACCAGGGGCTAGCTAAATTATAGTTACATAGTTGAAGTGATACACTGAAAAAATAGTCTTTTGTCTAATAACTGCCATCTGCTTCTATAACCCTGCTTGCAGCTTGCTTTAAGGATTATAATCTGCCTTCGGGCGCCAGAGATCTGTGAGAGCAACTATGCCCTGTGACCTTGTATCTTACAACCCAGACTTCACTCCCCGCTTTTGTTCCCTGAACACCTGCACTGTGTCACATAGCCTCCCTCAAAAATAGTATAAAACCCTCGTAAAAACTTGAGACGCTGCCATCCTCTTGTACTGCTTTTATGCGGGCGGAGATGGTCGCTGGCCAGCTAATAAAAACTCTCAATTTGACTTCATTGAATTCTCCTGTGGTCTGTTCGCGCCCTCCACACTACAACAATTTCTAATTTTTTTTAATCCTTTCTTGATTTCTTTTGGATTAAGGCTTTGCCTTATTCCTACTTATTTTCCCTCTACTGTTTTGGAAGTTGGATTGTGGCTAACCCTTCTTTGTCTTTACGTAAATGTAATACAACAACCCTATGAATTATATACTAGTATCATTTCCACTGTCCTCATTTTAAAAACCTAGGCACAGAAAGGTTAAGTAATTTGCCCAAAGTCACACAGCTAGTAAATGTCTGGGCTAAGGTTTGAATCCTGCAATTCTAGCTTTGGGGTCTACTAATACCTGTGGTCTATTATATACCTTATTTCAGTTTAGTGCTTAAGTATCTTACAAAAAGTCAAATATGGTTCAGAATCTTTTCCTGTCTCTTGAAGGAACTCAGTATGCTTTATTAATGTTGTCAAGCATTTTAATTTTTAATGCCACAAGTTAGACATTGCTTATAAAAATCAGTGTTTAAATTTATCCAGGAAATTATCAATTTCTTTGTTCATTATTCCTTCTTGCATCTCCATGCTTCTTTATGAGGTTATTTTCCTTTATTCAGAAGCATATTTTGGACAATCCTTTAATTTTGAGTATATGATCAACTTTTATAAATGTTTTACATATGCTTAAAAATATGCATTCTCTCACTGTCGAATGCATTTCCCTTATTGTTGGTAAACTATATTTTGCTTTTTCTTTGTTTTTTTTTTCTGTCTTTATTCCTAAAATCTTTTTGTTTTGCCTTCATTCCTAATAGTTTTGCTGGGTACACAATTCTACATTGGCATTTGCTTCTCTCAGTCCTTTGAAGACATTATTCCTTGTTCTCAAGTTTCTGCTAGAATAGCTATCAGAATTTTTAAAAATATCTAGACTTTGTTTCCTGGCCTATGCATGGTCCACAGCAATAAAGCCCTATTCCTTCCTTCCTTCCTTCCTTCTTTTCCTTCCTTCTCTTCCTTCCTCCCTTTTCTTCCATCTCTTCAGGCTTCCATTCTTCTTCCTTCCTTCCTTTTATTTCTTCTTTAATAATTCAGTCCACTAGATGGAGCTCAGCAGGGTAGTTGCCTGTGCAGGAGGTGGGGATGCAGAAGCAGTAGCACAGAATATCAGAGTCTGAAGGAGGTGCGAAGAGCATTTAAGCAACAGTGGGAGTGGTAGTAGCAGCCTGGTACAGGCAGTCAGAGCCCAAGCAGAGTGGAGAGAGTGTACACATGGGGAACAGCACTAGTGATCAGAAATTGCATAAGGGTTCATCCAGTAATACATTGAGGATAATGAGAATCAGGTATTGTCAGAGACAAGAATTACAAATATGGAAAGGTGAAAAGTAAAATGAATTCTAGTGTTTGGGACTGGAATTGTGGTATTGGTGTGAACTCATCATTTTCAATATAGAAAGATAGTAATGGAAACATAGATGTGCGTGTGTATTCCCTAGCTTCATCTATAGAGAGCAAAGAGAACCCAACAGTAACGAACTCAATGAGTGACCAGATCATGGTTTTTTAAATACCATTCTCCATTAAAAGGAACCAAGGTTCCTTGGAGTAATGGCTGATTCCAGAGCTAGGGCAGCAAAAGTACAAGAGTAGCCCATAACACCCTATTATGACAGAAAGGAAGGAATTGTTCAAATAATGATAGGAAGATGACCTAGAATACAGACCAGAGGAGGCTAAAGAGACATGACAACTAAATGCAATGTAGTATCCTGGATGGGATCTTGGAGCAGAAAAAGAACATTAGGGAAAATCTAGTGGCCAGCAGAACCAGGAAAAGGGGTCCCTGTTGTCAGAAAAGTATAAAAGGTCTGAACCTCAAAATTTTGCCTGGTAAAACAAAAACAAATAAAAATCCAACATTCTCCCAAGGACAGTAACAGGACTCAGAGTTTTACACATAATATTCAAAATGTCTAGAATATAATACAAAATTACTCAACATACAAAAAAGAACCAAGAAAAAATTGAATTCATAGTTTAAAACCTCCCAGCAAAGGAAACCCAGGCATGAATGGTTTCATTAATGAATTCTACCAAACATTTAAGGAAGAAATTCTACACAACACCATTTCTACACAATTTCTTCCAGAAAGTAGAAGAACTGAGAATACTTCTCAACTCATTTTATGAGGGCAGTATTACTCTGGTATCAGAACCTAATAATAAAGAAACTATAATAAGTTTGAATTGTTAAATGTCTTTCCTTCTCCATCTCATATCCTTCCTTAATCCTGCAAAACCAAACCTAACCAAACAAACACAAAAAGCACACAGGTACATCTATGCAGCTAAGGCCCAAAGAAAAAATTTTCACCAGCTTCAGGTCTACTGCATATCTCTGATGCAGGGTTTAATTAGTAGATTGGGGGCTAAATTTCAGATACCACTCACCCTGTGGTAGGCTGAATAATGGGCCTAAAGATATCCAGATCCTAATCCCTGGAACTTGTTATCATTTATGGCAAAAGGGACTTTGCAGATGAAATTAAGGATAGGGTGGTTATTCTGGATTATCTAGGTGGGCCCTAAATGTCACCACAAGTGCTCTCGTAAAAGGGAGGCAGAAGGAAATTCGGCATAGAGGAGAAGGCAATAAGTCGACAGAGGCAGAGAGGGTTCTGATGATGCTATGCTGCTGAATTTGAAGACGGAGGAAGGGGCCATGAGCCAAGAAGTACAAAGAATGGCTCTAAAAGCTGGAAAAGGCTAGGACAAGGATTCTCCCTTCAGAGTTTTCAGAAGGAACCAGCCCTGCTGACCCCTGGACTTTAGCCCAGTAAAACTGATTTCAGACTTCTGACCTACAGAACTGTAAAAGAATAAATTTCTGTTGCTTTAAGCAACTGGGTTTGTGATAATTTGTTACAGCAGCGATAGGAACTGGGGGCTGAGAGCCTTTGTACA